ACTAAAGAAGTAGGTAGTACGTTAGTACGACTAGTAGGTAAGGTTAGGTAGGTACGACGACTAGTCGTGTAGTACCGTACCTTCGGTACGTCGTCGTCGCGCGCGTTCGTTGTGTGTGTGTGTGTGTGTGTGTGTGTGTGTGTGTGTGTGTGTGTGTGTGTGGGTGGGTGCATGGGAATGATTTCATGTCACCGTATCTTTGTATAATATAATAAAATCACACTTCTAGTAAACCATGTTTGTGGCATTTATATGAGCCCAAATTTTGCTCATGCACTCTCTTCATCCCAACAATCAATCCCAAAAAAATAACATTCAATATGTACGGTAGATATGACCAAAATGAGTCCCGTCCAACATTGAATCTAGACCATCCATTTGATGAATTTCAAGATCTAATCCTTTTACGAATTCAAATCATTTTTTATTTTTTACATTCTTAATCTAATAATAACAGTGTTTCCAAAAGCGCTAGACGGGTCCTAGGCAGCTTGAGGGGTCCAAGCCGCCCAGCGCCTAGGCGAGTGCCCAGAACCTGTGCAGCCCAGCTGAATCAAAAAATGATTCAACAGTTATGTCAGTATCAGTTATATATATCGCAGTACATAATTCAAATTATACTACATATTAGCATTTAGCACACATTCCATACACATTCCATAAGCATAACCATAATCCATAAGTCGGTTCATACTCCATATCCAATTAAAACTTAAAATTTTCCAACCAACCAAATTATCAAACAAAGTTACTTTGAGTTTGATTGCTCAATCTTCAAACTTTCGCCTCAAAGATGCTTCTAAATACTCAAAATCTTCTAAAAACCCCCTAATAACTTTGCAAAACATCAAAAAGTACATCTAAGATCAATGGGTGATGTTTTGATCAATTTTGTTAATTTTGATCAATCCAAAAAAATTCACCATAAACTAGGTTTTTGGGGGCTTTCTCTCTCTAAAATTGGCTCCAATAAGTTTAAGGTTTCAAATGAACCTAAAACACTAATTGTTGGCTCTTTAATAACAAAAAAAGACCAAAATTGCCCCCATCGAAACATATTTCCACCCTGGGCGGCCGCCCAGGGTTGACCGCCCAGATTGGCTGCTTAGGCCTGGGCGATGCGCCCAGGCCTTTTGGACCGTCGAGGCACCTAAGCACTGGGCGGTCTGCTTTTTGAATCACTGAATAATAATAGAACTATCTAAAAAATTTGGAAAATAACGTTAAACAATCAAAGTGTGGCGCACCTAAAAACTATACCAAAAGATGCAGTTTTGGTGCCCAAAACCCCATCATGGCATGACAATCTATTGTCACCCCTCATTCTGTAACTTAGAGCTCCAAAAATGGTGCAAATCGAGTAAAACTATAAACAATTCAAAACTTTGAAAATGAACAGTCTAAATAATGCATTGCAAGATTGACTATTTTCGCAACTTGAAATATTTTATTCTTTTCATATTCATACATCTCAAGGTCAAGATGATCAATTTGAGGATTGTCCAACATTGGAACTATCTTTTCTGATAGGTTTTTGAGGTGCACCTTACTTCATTAGTATAAGGTTGACACCCTATATAAAAAAATTTCAAACATATATATATTTAAACACACACGCACGTGCACAAACACACACTATTTTATTTTTAAAATGATTTTAAAATTGAAAAATGTATAATCCACTTTTAGCATTAACTACGAGCAGGCACAATGAGAACTTTATAGCCTAAAAGTCCCATAAACAACTGAGAAAATTGATATTGGAGGGTCATGATACGACCTGAACTTAGGAAACGTCAGAGGTCCCCATAGTGAACCAGAAGAAACAGGTTGATTCACTATAGTGAGACCTACTCCATTCTAGACAACCCTTGTAGTCCCGCACTTCACTTCGGACCTTAGGCAACCGGGAAGCCTCCTGGATCCGAGTTGACTCGAGTGATTTCGAGGCGATTCACCAATTTTCAACCAAACCACGACCATGGAAATGAAAACCAAAAATCGTCTACAAGCGATCATTAGCTAGAAAATCGTCAAAAAGCAGGAAAAAAAAAAGCAAAATCAACATATTCAAAATTCAAAAACTTCTCTTAGGATCGAGATCCCTTTAAACCATGATTGCACCCACTTTCAGTGGGTTCGTGATCCCCTTCCAAAGCAATCAAGATCCCTTTTAGTTAGGGATCAAAATCCTTACAAGATAAGGAGCAAGCTCCCTTGATGTGGGAACGGGCTCCACTCAAGCTCTGGCTCAAGGATTGCCGTAGTGACATTCTGAGGTGGATCGCCACCCCTTAATCAAGCTCCCTGCATCTATGAGTTGAGCATTACGGAATCAATGGGGTGCGGATGCCACAAATGACAATTTTCAAATGAACGGGGAATTCACAGGGTCTAGGGAAGGAGAATCCTCCACTAGCAACCCTTTTCCACCACTTCATTTGACTCAGAGTCCATGGCCCATCTCAAATCCATAGATTATCTCGATGTTATCCAATAGTCTAATTGAAAATGTGGCCACCTATAGAAAGCAACTTGCATCATGCCATGCCATCTGAGAATGTTAGAATTTCCTTCACCATCCGGGGCATGAAATTGTTTTCTACACATGCAAATACCCACTCTCAATGATAAGACTTCACAAAAGTTGCATCCATGCTCCTTCTAAAGTAACAAGAGAATCACTCCATTTTCATCTCTTTGAAGCCTTGCTCCTAACCAGAAAAAAGGTTGCCTTTGTTACAAACGCAAAAATTGAGCAAGAAACAGTATAGTTTGCACCGATAGCTACATAGAGCATATGTGGCTCAGAGAACGTCCTCTATTTCACCAAGAGAATCTCCCTCTTTCATGATACATCGCCTTGATAGCAGGCCCAAGCTTCCAACAACTCAATTCCCAATCAACTCCAATACATTTCAATCTCCCTCTTTCATGATACATCACCTTGATAGCAGGCCCAAGCTTCCAACAACTCAATTCCCAATCAACTCCAATTGCATCTCTGTTATACCAACACCAACTATCGTAAGGAAGTAGATTCGGCCAAGTCTTAACAAATTTAAGAACACAAATGTGGAAACTGGTGAGTCTTGGCCGGTTCCCAAGGTTTTGTACTCGAGCTTGGCACCAACCAATTCTAAGTGACTCACCTGAGTCTGAATTGCACTCGATGAGTTTAGAAACACTGTCTTGAACAAAATTTCGATGCACTTTTGCTAAGGCCAAAAGGCTTGTTCCGATTAGAACTTTTCATGTTATGTGGAGCTCGAATACGTTCATATTAAACTGATAAGAATAGATCCACCAAAGGCACTTACATGATGTTTTGTCACAAGATCTAATATAATCAATGACATTTACTTCAGAGACTTGTCTCACAAGAGCACACTAACAACTGAACAACTTAATTATGTTTAACAACAGACTCCTATAATCAAGATGACCAGTTCATTCTCAAAAAAAAAGGAAAAGTAAATTATGGTTCAAATTCAAATTTCATGAACAAGACAATTACAAATATTGTGACAATGCAGATCCAATGGAGGAAAGGCATTATAGCTACTTCCAACAGCAGTACAGAACATCATTTCAAAGGAAAATTCAACAAGAGTATATTAGAAGAACAAATTAATTCAGTAGCAGCATGTGCACTGCTTATACAACTAGTACATTCCAAAATAACTCTTACTCTAACCTTTCGATGATATGAAAAGGGGCCCGCTCTTGAAGATCTGCAGAGTCAATAAATGCCATCAAGAATAAACATAGCCCAAATCAGAGTTGAGAATAAGACTTTTTGTTTTTTTTAAGTAACTTTGCAGTTAACACTTAAACCAGAAAAGAAAACAAAGAAAAGTTTAAAAAATCAAATATTGGATCCCCAAGTAAAACTAAGGAAATGTATCCAAAGTGCGCAGTGAAGTTTCCTATAGTAATCTCACAAGGCCCCAGAAGCCAGATTTCATTGAGGGACGAACTGGAGTATGTGATTCCACAACACCAAGTCCAACAAATATTGTGACGAACTTTCAGTCGAGGAATGACAAACCCCAGCCCTCTGCTACTGACATGATAGCTGGGATGACATGAAGGTACTTTAGAAAACTTCAGTGTGTATTGAACCCCAAAAATACTGCATGGGTTCCTGATGTACAGTTCAATGTCCTTAATGGGGAAAACCAGAAGACCCTCACAGCAAACATCAGCCATTGCATATCTTGTCTAGGGTGACAATAGCTCCCTTGGGAAGTATATAAATAACATTCTGTGCTGAATACTGAGGTTCGGATTGCATGGTGTTTTTGGTCTAGTTATCAACCAAAAAAGGAAAACGGGTGCTTTGAAAAGGATAAAAGAACAATACTGCTATACTAGAGCACATGATACATGATCTGAGAGAATACTAAATTAAGTAAAGGTCTAGGCCCTCCAATAATAAAAAAACAAGAATAGATTTTGCATATTACAAGGAAAAAAGGATAAAATTACAATTAACAAAGCAGACCACACGTACCGTATTTGTAGGACGAGGTCGAGGCCGATCAAATGGGGCACTCGAACCAGATGATGTACCCCCATCCCCCTAAACATAGAATCAGAGAAAACAAAAATAAAAATAAAAATAAAAATAAAAATAAATGCAATTTCAGCATAATTGTCATCCCCATATCTCGAGCACAAATAGTAAATTGAATCTCCTCAATGAGAATACTATTAAGAAAATCAAGATAAACTTGTACCATAAAGAATTTTGGCAATTTATTGTCTGGAATCACCTGAGAAGTTTCTACATTTCGAGATACCATTCCTATAATGAAGCCACCCAATACTTCAAACAAAATGAAGATAACCCACCTGCATTTTCAAAATGGAAATATGCAAAACAAATAAGAAAACCATAACTTTCTCACAAAATCAACCCTTTCAAAGCTAAGAAAACAAATCAAAAGACGCAATCCATTTAAATTTGAAAAAGACTGCTGCTTAAGAAAAAGTATGAGCCCTAAAATGGGACTTGCGTATTCTCTTAGATCAGGAACAAAAAGCACATCAGGAAAAAGAAATATGGGCCATTGAAATGAAGGACAACCTTAGAACGGAGTTGATGGAAGACTGAAAAAAGGGAATGTGTATCAGTAAAACTGAACATAATTTTGTTAGAGAGGGAGAGCGAGAATTAGTAAAAATTGTAGAGAGAGAAAGAGAGTACACCTTGTGTTTTGTTCTTCATGGTTCGTTACGACCACTCAGATATCGCAACAGAAACCCACGGGCCAAGAAACGAAATTTAAAGCGGACCGGAAAATACGGCCGTATATCCATGGGCGTGCGGCCGTATCCGTATATGTATCAAAACGTGCATCACCCGCCAACAAAATAACCCAGCTAAGATCCTCTGACGATAGCAGACGTGGTACATAAGGACAGGCTTATCTTAACCCCTGATCATACCTAATTTTACGGAAATGGCCTCTGTCGGCAAAATGACCGAAACTGACCCTTATTTCATTTCTCTCACGTGTCTTACTCACTTATATGTTTATACGTGTCCTCCATCTAAGATCTGAGATGGATTTTGGATCCAAAAATTTAGGGGCTGATATTCTGAACATAGATATTAAAAAAATTATAAAATAAATATAACTATTTTGGATGTGTTTTTAGAACCCTCCATTTAGATTTTGGTAGGACCACCATTAGCAAAAGGAAAAAGTTTTTGCAACCTTAAAATGTAGAATCGCATATGCACCTCAAAAATCCATCAAAAAATGTTGTTTTAATATTTTTCAACCCTCTAATTGATCATCTCGACATCGAGATATATGAATATTAAAAAAAAAAAAGAATTGAATTTCAGAGATAGTGCATCTTGCAATACATTATCTAGACCGTCCGTTTTCAAGATTTTCATATGTTTATAGATCTACTTGATTTTAACCAATTTTTTATTTAAAATATTATAATAAGATATGCAAATAGATTTTGAGATAATCCTAAGAAATTTTTACACCAAAATGACATGTTATGATAAAATTTAGGGGTACGTCTTAATTGGATTGTTTAAGGTGCAATCTTATAGACACCGCACCCTTACCAAAAATCTGTGATGGATATTTGACGGTACACATTTATGACATGCATCCTTGACGAATCTCTCAATATATAATAGGAAATATATATGATAAGATTATTTATTTTTTATACAAAAAGGTCATAATCATTATTGACCGTTGCACGAAATTTAAGTGGTTAATGATGTGTCACAAGGTCCAAAATAAATTTTTCAAAATTTGTGATGCATGTCAATTTGTTAGATTTCATATTCAATGGCTATGACTAATTGCGACCTTCTTGTGGAAAAAGTAAATGGTTTAATAATATATGAACCCTATAATAGATTGTAGAATTGGAATAAATATATGTGCTAACATTTGGGTCTCCAACAAGATGCTAATAGCTCCTCAACATCGATTGGACGGTTGTGAAGCCACTAGAATTTTTTTTTTGGCATGCATATGATATATTCTTGATAAAATCGTCATTGTTTTGAAAACTGAACAGATGTGTTAAACTAGTCACGCATTGGTTTCGAGCTGACTTAGAATTGATTGAACTAGGTCAGTTCTTCCTCGAAAATAAAATTAAAAAAACAAAAGAAAATAAGTGGGAAACGGTAGGAAGCACCGGTGTCTTAGCCAACTTGAGTGTTTCCAATTCTATATACTCCATGTGGAATACAATGGTATCGATAGTGTATCACATGTAGTCCTCAGACAACAGAGATCATGATTATGCCATCTCCACCTTCTCTTCCTGGTGACAGATGAAGGAGACGAGTTCTTCCTGCGCACCACCAAATACTTGTGAGTGAACTCTTCATCCTCACCATCCATCACAAGGAATGGACATCGACATTGGAACCATACATTTGATATACTGTTTGTGTATTATTAATTTTTTGACAAATTCTGTTTGTGCATTCATGCAGCATGGTTTGAGTTTCTTATGAAATGTGATGAAGGATGCAGGTTAACATTGTTAAGCCATCTTCAGCCTATTCTCAGTGATGGACTATAGAGATTAACTAAAGGAAAAAGTTTATATAAGGTTGAGGCTCTAAACAATCAAACTAAGGCGCACCCTCAAATCCGATCATCTCGACCTCGAGATACATAGCCTTAAAAAAAAAAGAACTTCAAGTTTTTGAAATAGTGTATCATGTGATACATTATTTAGACTTTCAATTTTCAAGATTTTCAACTATTCATAGATATACTTGATATACGCTTTTTTTTAAGCTTTAAATTTTATAATTACGTATTGAAATCAATTTTCAGACAGTCATAAAGATTTTCGATATTAAAATGACATCTTTCGATACTATTTGAACATACACTTACTTTCATTATTTAGAGCCTCAGCCTATACAAACCACACCCTTAACTAAATCTAGGTGACATTTATTTTAAATTACTATTATCTTGTACCATTTCTTTTCAAGGGAGGGAGGATGCTATCCGGTCCACAAGATATACAAATAAGAACAACTTTATGTAGGTCATCTCGGCATGCATACTAATCTTAAAACTGAAAAACTAAAGGGAACCATTTAAACAACACACTGTTGCTTAAAAGTTAAAACCAATTCTCAGCATATAGACCACGTTCTACGTGTACCCTCAAGTGTACCTACACTGTCAACAAGTTATGGTTGAAATTCATTTATATTTGAGAGGACAAATTATTGAGCAGATTCAAAATCACCCGAGTTGGGGATGAGCGATTTTAGATTAAAAGCACCCTAGTGTCTTTTTATTTAAAAATGTCCTGTCCACGCCCAAATTGGAGCAAGCGTTCAAGTTCCAGTCCCCTCGCAAGTCAAAGCATGTCCCATTTTTAAACACTAATCTGAACTTCCAGTTGTTTTTTACTGGATATGCTTGAGGGGCTTGCAGTCCGAGCAGCAATATCTAAACTAGAATCGTTCCCATCTTAGGATAAGTAAGCAACACTTAAAAAACATTTCCATTGTCATATAAATATTTTTCAAACAATAAACATTGGTAGCAACCCCCGTACCGAGTTAACACAGTATAGTTTCCAATCTTGCTGACACAGTCCATTGACATTTTAAAAAAAGCCAACTTCTTAATCTATATGAAAAAATGGGGAAGGTTAGTCTTCCCCACTAAATTATCCAAAAAAAAAAAAAAAATTCATTTCTCAACTAATGAACATCTTCATTAGGGTGGGGTTTTTCTAAAAAATGTGAGGTCACCAGTGTAATTCTGCCAAGTGAGATGGGGCAATTTTGTCTGACGTTGTAGAACTTTTAGGACCCGTGTCACGTGTGGGGCCCAAAAGAGGTTCTCCTTGTTCCAAGGCGTGAGGCGCGACGCAGGCGGACAGGAGCGGTGCGCGCCATCATGTCTCGATCCATGTCTATTGGCGGAATATAGCATGGCCAATGTCTCTCTCCTTGTATATTGTATTTTAGTTTTTTTCCTTTTGGAGACCCCTCTTGTTCTTTTTTTTCTTTTCAATTCTATGTGCATAAAGTTAATAAAAACTCCACCTAACCTCTTGAAACCCATAATTAATTACTATTTAATTTGACATAATCCCAAGGTTTTCTAGATTCCAAAAGCATTTGGATGCCCAACCAAGAAGATTGTTTTTTTCTCCATTTTTACTAGTGTCTAAACGCTATTCCCGCAAACAAATAACTCTATTGTTTCTCCCGTTTTTCATCGGTTTCAGGGAAATCCAAACGCCTTTAGAGCGTGTATTAAAAGTTTAAAACCCGGTTGTTAAGGAAATTTTTTTTTATCGAGAATCGATCCAAACTCACCCCATTCTTTGTCAGAATTGGGTATCGATCTGGTCCTATAACTTGCTGAATTCTATTATGGATCCGAAGAGTTTGTCAAGGAATTCTCCATGGACTGATTCTCACACAGCAGACTCCGTCCAATTAACCAGTCGAACTGCAATTTGCTGACCCGGGTCGGCTTTTCAAAAGCCGCTTCACCATAGTTTTTTTGGTCTTATTTGAGTACTTTGATCATGGATGTTTTATTGTGAGGAACCGTGGTAAGAGGGTGTGAGGTGGGTCTTGTTGGTGCCCCACCCACACCACAAGAGGAGGGGTAGGGTTAGGCCAAAGGAACGTGTGCTCCACGCCAAGGGTTCGTAAAGCCCGAGTCTTGGTCTGAGCATGGACTTTACGATGTTCAAAGTTCAATTTGAACCTTCAAGATCCGACGTGACTGAATTTCTGACTTTGAAGGTCCAAAGTGACCTTATAGACCTCTAAGATTTGAAGTGGGTATTTTGAAAAAAAAAAAAAAAGTAAAAATAATATAAATGTAAAATAACATAAATAAAAAAAATCTTTAGCCAAGAGATGTTCTACTCTTAGAGGAGAAAAATGTTCATTTACTCACTTGGGTAAAACCCCAATTCAAATTAATTTTAAGACTCCAAATTTTGAGAGTGTAACCTCATCAACCCATAAATTAACTTCAATAGAAAACAAGAACCGTTGTCGTTGAAGAAAGAACACATACGTACTATCTAACATGTTATTCATGCATTGATTAATCAATAAAAAACAGTTCCTAGCAGTAACTTCTATGTAAACATCTCAAAATTGAATAGAGACCATTGAATTTTTAGATGTGAGATCAAATCGTTAGAAGACTCAAATTTTAATTTTGTTTTTTAGAATAATCATCTAGTAATTCTTAAGTGGTTCCCAAAATTTCAGATTGAAAAGATCCTCTCTAACAGGTTCTTTAAAAGATGGAGTAACAGTAGGAGCATAGGACACGTGCTCAAATATTTACAATGATGAATATCTAAGATTACATTAGCGCAAATTTATCTATAGTTGTTTATGGCAAACATGAACAGTGGTGGCTCTTTGAAAGCCGCTTTATGCTGCGGAATCCGTATCAGGTACGCATGTATGAAAAAAAAGGTGTAGTTTGCATAAGGTTGCAACCTTAAGCAATCAAAGTAAGGTGTACCTCTAAACTTTGTCATGAAATGCAATTTTGGTGTTGAAAATTATTAGGATAATGCAGAAATTCATTTCTATATCTAATTATAAATCTTAAACTCGAAATATAGTTCAAATGAAACAGATCTACTTTGAGAGCTTGAAATCTTTA